GGGTAGAAGAACGGGGAAGGGGAGGTCAGGGGGCGCGTGTCGGCTGTTCATAAGAAAACAAATGGCTGTTTCCCCCCTCCCTCCCCCCTCTCTACGCTACGTGTATCGCTTACTTATGGGCCGTAAGTGCAGACATCGATAATAAAAGTGTGAGCTCGGTGCATACGTTCTCGCCCTGCCGGCGGTGCGGCGGCCCGGCGCGGCGGTGTCGCAGAGGGAGGGAGGCCCCGGGCTGTCGCCACGTCGTATAGCAGCTTACGTTAGGGCGTTTATATGCTTCCGCCTACCTGTATACGTTCTCTCTCTCGTGTTGTTTTCCATCGGCCGCGCGTTATGGTGCGTTTCTCTCGTGCGTGAAATGCGCAGAGCGGCGTGAGAGTTTATTCCTCGCGTGCGGACCGGGCCGTAATAGATTGAAATGAACGGCATGTTTGTTTTATTTATTGAGATTGCAGTTCGGGCGCGCCGCGCGCCGCGCGCGCTCGTCGATAGCGATCCGCATAATGGCGAAAAAATGACATTAAAAAATGATAAAAGCAAAAGTCCTGTACAGCAAATAAACTTTGTGCTGACGGTGACCCATCAACCGTTTTTATTTTTCATTGTTTTGCGACGGTGTCAACGGTGGTTGTCGAATATGTATTATTGACTGACTCCCGCGGCGTAGTGGGCTGGAGTTCCATGACCCTACCGTGTTTGGTTGCCTTTCCCTTGCAAATTCGGCGTACCTGCGGCGGTGGAGGTAGAAAGTGGTGGGAGGGGGAGGGCGCAGCAGAGAGGAGGGTGATTAAGCTGGAGGTGGGGGCACATCTAGCGGCACGTCATGGGGGCTCCAACCCCCACCACTCCTAAAATCATTGCTCAATGTCACCCAGCCCCTCTGCCCAAACCTTCCAACCAACCTCCTCCTTCTCCTCCCCGCCTTTCAAAACTAAAATGGCCGTGAGGCTCTTTATCGGGTCGCGGGTGGAAGCAGCCGGGAGGGCGGCGGCCCGCGCGGGCCAAGTTAAAAGTGCTCCCCATGGCGCTGCAGGGAAGTCCACCCCCCGACCCCTCCACCCTCGGGGACCGGAAGAAGGGGGAACTTCCGGCCGATCTCATTCGGACTGACAGCCCGGCGGGCCGAGCGGCAGGCTGTCCCATCACGCTCTTTGCGCCGTGCGGCTGCTCTGCTCTGTGCGGCGCAGCACCACCGCGTCACTTAGCGCGCGGGCCCAGCCAGGCCCAGCCCAGCGGTCCGATATAAATTAATTTACCGCCTTGCCCCGCTCTCCGTCCTCCGTCCTCCACGCCCCTCTCTCCTCCCCCTCTCTGCCCTCTCACTCTCTCCGCATTGCGCGCGCAACATTCCACAAATAAACGCCCCGCCCCATGAATTTGCTGCTGCTGGGTCTGGGTCCTTACCTTCTACTCTTATTCTCGTCCTTCATCTCTCCTCTTCCTAATTTACTTTTCAAAATAATTTATTTCTCCCGTGTGGTGTGTGTGTGTGGTTGTTTTTATTTTATTTTTGATGTAAGCGGGTATGGGAGCGAGCGAGGGGGAAATCACTTGCGAAATAGTTCGTACACCTTCCCCCGAAATAGTCCGAAATAAAGGCGAAATAGAGGCGAAATAGAGCGAAATAGAGCGAAATAAAGACGAAATAGACGCGAAATAGTCGGTGAAATAGTCGCGAAATACCCCTGAAATACTCCGAAATAGCGCGAAATAGCCTGAAATAATCCGAAATAGGCGGGAAATAGCCGAAATGGCAGGAGAAATAACCGAAATGGTAGGAGAAATACAAAGAAATAGTCCGTACGCTACGAACCCTAGTGATTTCCCCCTCGGGAGCGAGTTGTTGTTGCCGAGGCACACTACTCGCCCATCATGTTCGGGCTGCTGGAGGGCGTGGTGGGGACTCGCAGCGGGGAGCGGTCGCGCCGTCGGTCTCTGAACCTCCGAACCTCCTCCTATGGAGCCTCCCACGCTCGGTGCTACCGGCGGCCGGTCCATGGCGGATGGCAGCGCCGGCAGCGGTCCGAATTAGTCGAAAAGTTAATCGTCAGAGCGGATAAAAAGATATGAAGAGTCGTATTATTTTTCCCTGGACGCCGCTTCGATGGATTTTCGCTGATTGATGAACTGATGGCAATTATTTTGCCCGAGCGTCACCATACCGTCGTCCACACCATATTTCCTGCGATCGACTTTTTATCTTTAAAAGCCTGTATTTTTGTTCATCTCATTTTCTCTTTCCATTTTTTTCTTCTTCTATTTTTCCCGCCAATTATTTTTATATCCAGTTGGCTGTTGTGCCTTGTTTCTCCCCTCTCGTGCGCACAATGCACAGCCTCGACCGCTGCGCTCGGAAGTCGGAAGGGGCTTCGCGATGAGTTAGTTGCGAGTTTGTTCCCGCGCACCTATAGCTATATGTAGTTCTATAGTACTAAATCCACTCTCCGCCGCGCACTTTCGACGTTTCGTATCCGACTTTCCCGACGAGATTTTGATTTATTATTACTCCCTAAGGGAAATAGTGATAGAGAACACTCATGAGAAAATGATAAGGGCGATATTTGCCGCAAGCACGCCACGCCACAGCCACAGCGGCGAGTGCCGCGGCTCAATTCGTCAAAGACTTGGTCAAGACTCGGCCCGCGACCGCTTCAATGGCCCCCGCGCGCGGTGCGGCAGGGCGGGGCGGGGCGGGGCCGAGTGAGTGGGGCGGGGCGCGGGGAGGAGCGCCTTTGCTTCGACAGTTCTGCCAACACGACGACAAAAGAGGGCGGGGAGGAGCGGGGGTGCGGGCGGAGCGCGTAAGAGCGGCGCGGCGGGCCGAACCGACGCGATGCTCCATCGGACTCCCCCACGATTATACGCTCGCTGTAGCATTGCTGTCACTGCCGGCACTGCCGCGCGCCTCCCTCCCCTCCACGTCCATTCCCCCGGATTCAATGAACAGTGCACACAACACCGTGCGCCCTATGGGCCCCCTCCCCTCTCTCCCTCGGCCCGCATTTCTTGTACAAACGCCCCCGTAACCGTATAGGAGCGCCTCTGGGGGAGAACATGGGCGGCGGGTCCGGGGAGGGGAGGGGAGAGGGCCGCCACCGGGTCAGTGCACTGCCCGCGCAACGGCGTACACACTGGTACACGGGCCACGGGCTGCTGGGCTGGGGGCCCTGGCTTTCCGCTGCCAGGCATGCCCAAAAGGGGACGACTTTGAAACTCATGCACTCATTCAAGCAAACAAAACTGCCAAAATGACGCCCCCCGCCCCTTTTCCCCCAACTTCCGGTGTATGCGACAACAGCAACTGACAGAGTTTTAATAAAGGCCGACAGACAGACACGTAGAAAAGATCGCAAAAGACCCACAACTTGCACGGCCGTCCTGTACTTTATTTCGAGCGGCTGCGGCGTGGTTTGGCGCGGCCACGGCGCTGAGCTGCCCCGCACTCCCAACATGGACTCGCGTGTCATACCCGCCGCCCTTTACGGGCGCGTGGTGGGGACGCGGGGCTCGGTGCAGGATCAGGACCAGGGCCGAGCGGCACAGACAGACGGACAGGCGGGCGGGCGCGGGCATCGTCTGCAGATGAGGTCCATTACCATTGCCATTCCCCGCACAGACATGGCCACCGTCATCAAGAGCCCAGCATCATGGTGAGCGCCCCGAGAGCGCCGGCCGGGGAGGGCGGCGACCAGGACACGACCCGGGACGCGCCGCCCCCGGCCGGCCCCGCCCCCGCGGCCGCCGCCACCCCGGAGCCGGACGCCGCCGCCCCCGTGGGGACCAAGACCGGCGCGGCTGCCGCTTCCGCCGCCGTCAGCGAGGTGTCGTCGAGGATCCCGAGGAACAAGCTGCTGTCCCACCGCAAGTTCCCCAACGGCAGGCCCGCTGCGGCGCCGGCGTGCCCCGCCGCTGAGGTCCCGGGGGACGCCGGCGCCGCCAGGGGGCGCCAGGACACAACCGACGCCGGTGACGCAACGCAGAGGGACGCCTTCGCCAGGGCCTTCGTCGCCCAGAACGGGAGAGTAGCCGAGGGTAAGTCAGGTTGGGCCGGCGTGGAGCAGGGGTCGTCCCGTCCCGTTGGCTGCTGTCAAACTGTTTGACGTGACACTCGATGCCCCTTGCCCTATGTATAGCCCTGCCTGCCCTGCCGCGCCGGAACTGGGGAGAGTGACCTGTTGAACACCTCTCAGCCCCGGCCGGGACGACGGAGGGAGGAAAAGACAAGAGTGTCTCTGGACAGGGGGACCGCGACACACGGGGCCCGCTCTATACTATGAGCACGACCGCGTCGCCTCTCCGCCGCGTCGTCGCCATCGTTCGCGGTTGGAAGTAATCAGCGAAACCCATTCGCGGTGACTACTCTGGAAATGTGAACGCGGAGGGCGATAAGTGTGGCAGTGAGTCGCGCTATCGCGCTGGCTGGGCCACGTCGTCGCGGCCCTGCATGGAGCAGAGGGAGCAGAGCGCGGCCCTCGGCGGCGGCAGCCTGGCCCGGCCGCGCTCACACCCACCCGGCCGCACGGCGCATACCGCACGCGGCACCCACGAGCATCAAAGAAAGAGAAAGTGCATCAAGGACATAACTCCGGCCGCCATCGCCATGGTGGTGTCGGCGGCCCTGGCCCCGCCGGGCGCCCCGCCCTCGGGAGGCTCCTCGCCCGTGGGCTGCTGCTTTGAGGACGAGGAGACTCTTTTGCCGTGCCCGTGTCGTTGTGAGTGTGTTCTTGTTGTCGTCGCCCACCCGTGCCTGCGCGGGACTTTGATTGCGTCTGTTCCTGCCGGGGCGTTACTCCTCTCCAGAGGGTCATCTGTTGCGGTGCGGGGCTTGCCGTGGCCATTTCGCGCCGGGCCGGGCACCATTGCCGGCGGAGCGCTGCAGCAGCAAGGCTTGGGGCCCGAAAAATCGATTTGGCCTCCCTTGCGTTGCGGAAGCGCCTGTTTTACGAGCCTTTTCGGTATCGACGTCCTGCGGCGCGGCGGCGGCCGCCCTTCCACGCCCCGCCCCCTCTGCCACCATTAGAGGGGCACTCGACTACTCTTTTATTTTATTTTCCCCGAGGCAGCCTGAAGCTAAAGGCTGGAAAAATGTTCGCTCGGTTGAGTGTGTGTATCAGCGGGTGTCTCTGCTTGCTCTGCCTTCGCGCGCGCCCACGCGGCCAGCAGCGGACAGCGTCATTAATGTGTCCTTCTCCCCGTTCTGTTGCAGCCATCAAGTCGTTGGAGTCACTGAACGCGCGCATCGGGGCTGACCTGGACGCTGGCCCCGGGGCTGGCCCCCTCGCGCCGCTCATCTCGCCGCCCGCGGCCCAGCATGGCGGGCCCCACCACGCCCTCCTCGCGGGGGCTCCGGGGCTCGGCGCCGGTGAGGACGGGGCGGCCGCGGCCGACCAGGACGTGCTCGTCCTCTCCTCCATGGCGCTCATGAGGAGACTTCTCGTGGACGCCCAGGTGAGAGCTCGTCATAAGGGTGGCTGAGCGCCGTTGAGCGCCGCTGAGCCGCGGCTCAGGTGGCGCAGGTGGACCGCACGGGCGGCGCCACTTTACGCTCCCAGGTGGTGCTCAACCTCCTCTGGGGCCCCCCGCGCGCGCCCCTCTGGTGGGGCCGAAAAGCCGTCCTTTCATCCTGCCTGCCTTTCCTCCTGGCCCTGCCGGCCCGAGGGAACGGGGACCACAGGGGACAGGGGTAGAAAGGGGGTGGGGGGGGGGGGGCGGAGAATGACGGCGCTGCCAAGCCGTCTAGCAAAGACGCAAAGACCGCTGAGCCGAGCCAAGCCGAGCCGCGGAGCCCCGCGCCCGCGAGCCCCACCACCGGCCCTCACTGGCCCTCACCACTACGCCCCGCGCAGCCCCGAGCTTCATTGTTGGATTCAACAGCGCGCTAGGCGGCCGCTCCGCCCGGGGCCGCCGGGGCCGGCCCGGCCGGCCAGGTGTGCCATGGGGAGGGGGAAGGGCGCAGGTCGCCCATCCCCCTCCCAACACCGCAGCCCCCGCGGACTCAGCGAGCGCCTCTTTCTTTCGCCATCCGCCCGTAACCCTTCCCTGCTGTCTACGACGACGTCGCCGTCCTCCTAAGTCGCTGTCACTTCCGGCGTCGCCGTCCTGATTGGTGTTGCCCCCGCCCGACCTGCCCGCCACCACCAGCAGCCATGCCGTGCCTCAGGCTGCCTTTCCTCGTAAGACGATCGTGTCGTCGTGCTCGGCCTTCCGCAGGTCGCTCACCCGGGGCCCCGGCGGGCGATGACGGCGGCGCCACGCTTGGGGCAGGGCAGGGACGAGGCTGGTTGAACCAGTTCGCCTCGTCTAATGCTGTCGTCGCTTGTGCGCGGCAGCGCGCCGTGTCCCCCGGGCACGACGCACGCCGCTGGCAGCGCGCCTGAATGGCTGATGCCCGCCGTGATCACACGGCCGCCCCGCCGCGCCGCGCCGCGCCGCGCCCTGCCCTTTACCGGGACACAGTTTTAAGGCCAGACTGTCCTGCCGGGCGCTAATCTCCACGCCCTGTGCCCCTTTTCTGCTTGCAGTCCAAGTTTCGTAGGATGGTAGAGGAAAACCGTCAGCTCGGGGAGCGAATAGACGGCAACGTGCAGAACGCCCACGAGGACGTGGCGGCCCTGCGCGCCGAGCTGAGCGACGCGTCGCAGCGCCTCTCCTCCATGGCCACCATGGCCGCGCCGTGCGCGCCCGCCCCCAAGGCGCTGGGGCCGCCGGCTACCGTCGTGCCGCCGCCGCCGCCCTCCAGCGGCCCGCCCCCCGCCACCTCCACCATCTCGACATCGTCGTCGTCGTCGTCACCCTCCTTCTCGTCGTCTGTGGTCAACTCTACGACCAGCCGGTCTTCTACGTCTGACTCGCCCGTCGGCAAGGTGAGATGCTTGTTTTTCTGTATCATCAGGCAAAATTCATGATCAATAGAGTGTCGTTCCATCTAACATGCCCTCTGTTACAGACGACCACTCCGGCCGACGGCCCCGAGACTCCCCGACGCGTACCCCCGAAGGTCACGCCCCGGAGGCCACACTCTGGCGGCGACGTCCCAGACTCGCGTCCGGGAAATCGTAGCCGAAGTGAAACTGGGGCCGCGGACTCCTCGGACGCGTCCTCCCCTGAGAAGGAGGGCCTCGGATCGAGCCCCGGGGGACCCAAGTCCGCTCCGCCGACGACCACCGTCTTCTCGGAGCGCATCGGTAAGAAGCTGTCCGCCGTCGGCGCCGAGGCCGACAAGTGGGCGGGGGTGGGGGCGGCGGGGGCGAGCACGCCGCCGAGCGCCTCGGGTGCCAGGGTCGCGGGTGCCGCGGGTGCCAGGGCCGCGGGTGCCACCAGCTCGCTGTCCCTCTCGCCGCTGGACCAGCTCATCGTGCGCCCCGCCAGCCCCAAGCCCGGCCACTCCTCGGTGCAGAGCGACAGTGAGTGTCACGCTCTGTCGTCACCGTGTGACTGCCCGTCACTGCCCTCCCACTGATCGCCACCCTCTGTTCCAGACGCCGTGAGCCCCGGGAGCGGCGAGCCCGTCAGCACGCGTCTGCGCCTAGAGAACGAACGCCTCAAACGGGAGGTGTCTGAGCTCCGGAAGCTGGTGTCGGCCTCCGGACTGTCACCCTCGCCCGTGGGATCCTCGGCGTCCTCCGCGGCGGCCACCTCCCCTTGCCCCGCAGCTGGCGCCGATGCCGCAGCCACGTCCGGTGGCGAAGGTGGACCGGGATTCTCCGTGATCGCGGACTGCGATGGCAACCTTAGACGGGTGCGCACCTTGGAGACGGAGCTGCAGCAGACCAAGGAGGCCCTGACCAGTGAGCAACAAACCAATAACCATTTCGATTGTTCAATATGCCAATCGAAAGCTTACTGGTGTCAATTGTCTGACTATTTGTCCAATTTGTCTTTGTCCCCGCAGCACTGAAGGCGGACCGCAAGAGACTGAAGGCTGAGAAGTTCGACCTGCTTAATCAGATGAAGCAGCTGTACGGAACACTCGAAGACAAGGAGAAAGAATTGAGGGACTTTATCCGCAACTACGAACAGGTGGGTTGTGATACAAAGCACCATAATAAGAAAATTTTAAAAGTCATCCTTCTCGTTCTCAAGTTGGTTGATGACACATTCTCAAATCGGCTGATGACGTTTCTCCCCATACAGCGCATGCGCGAATCAGAGGCGTCGCTGCAGCAGCTGTCGACGGAGCGGGAGCAGCGTGAGAGGGAGCGGTGGAGCCTCCTGCGACACGCTCGCGACGAGGCGGAGCGCTCCCTCACCCTGGCCGCCCAGCTGCAGCACAAGGAGCAGCAGCTGCAGCAGCTGCAGGACCAGCTCAACGATGTACGTCCAACCCAGTCGAGCTCGCTCGCCGACAACTGGTCAAGTCCGCGCATCACTCATCCCTCTGTTTTGGCTGTTCTGTCTCCAGGCTCGACGGTCGGGCTGCCTGTCCGACCAGGAGTCGGTGGCCTCACTGTCGGTGTCCCGGCTCAACGGCATGTCGTCGGGGACCCTCGTGTCCAGGGACCGGGATCGCGACCGAGACCGGGACAGCCTCCGTGACCGCGACAGCCTCCGCGACCGCGACAGCCTCCGCGACCGGGACAGAGACTCGCGCGTGCTCGGCGACCGCGAGCGGGACCGGGGCTCGTGCTCGGCCGACTCGGGGGTGCGGGGCTCCTCGGACAGGGAGTCTGGCGCCACCGGCAACCTGTCCGACTCGACCACAGACGGTGAGCGCAAGCGAACAGGTACTTGGCGCGGCAAAGCATGGAGTTACTTCCGGGGCGCGGCAGGATAAGGGCGGGCGAGTAACGCGAGTGCCTGTCTCCTTTGTCCTTCAGGTACGCCAACCATCACTGTGGAGGGCAGCATGGACATGGACTCCATCTCCGTCGTGTCTTCGGTGACGGCGCCGCACATGTACCAGCACAGTGAGTACAGCCAGAGTCGTTACTCCGTATTCTGTGCACGTGAGCAGCGAGTAAACTGATGCCCTCGCCCGTTCCAGACGCCGGCACGCCCAAAGACTGCAGCCCGTCGCTGTCGCCCCTGAACGCGCACAGCTTCTCGCGGTCCATCGACAACAGCGTGCTGTCGAGGTCCGTGGAGCAGCTGAGCTCGCCGCTGGACCTGGAGCCCCGGCGGAGCAAGCGCGGCATGGGGCTGGGCCGCGGCGGCACCTGGGGCTCCATCAGCAGGGTGTTCGCGCGCAGCAGGCACCGCAAGGTCGTCTCCCCGACCAGCCAAGACGGTGAGTCGCGTGGCGGGGCATAACATGTCGCTAAGAATACCACTTCGAATGACACAATCATGTTGTTTTTTACGGCAGCAATTTGTTCAATAGGGGTACTTCACTATAAAGTCAATCGTACACAAAGTTTTATGTGTTTTCTTGATGATTTTAAATATTTAACAAAATCTCTTTCTGATTTTTTCTGATTTTTAAATTGATTTTTCCTTGAATTTTTCCTAATTTTTTTCTGGGGTTTTGTAAGGATGTACATTGATTTTTTTTTTTTGAGTGAGTTGCCCCTTGCAACACACATTGTGATCGCCTAAACAAAAGTGTCTGCTTCTGCAAAAGACTTTTTTTTTCATCCCCTCCCCAGCCCCGCCTCTGCCAGTGTCGCGTCATTCTGGCCCGGTTGCAGAGTCGTGCGGCGAGTCGGTGCGGTCGTGGTCGCCGCTCACCGAGGAGGGCTACGCGGAGAAGCTGCGCCTGCTGCGGGAGGCGGCCGCCGTGCCCATGGAGCGCTGGCGCGCGAGCACGGTCCTGGCCTGGCTGGAGATCGCGCTCGGCATGCCGCAGTATGGGCCGCGCTGCGCCGAGAACGTCAAGAGCGGCAAGGTGCTGCTCGAGCTGAGCGACCTCGAGCTCGAGTGCGGCCTCGGCATCACGCACCCGATGCACCGCAAGAAGCTGCGCCTCGCCATCGAGGAGCACCGGCACCCCGCCCTCGTGCGGTACCCCTGCATCGCGCAGCTCACCCACACCTGGGTGTCCTCCGAGTGGCTGCCCGACCTGGGGCTCGCTCAGGTACGCCTCGCCTTTGCTCGGCTCTCTGCTCTGCTGCCCCGCCACTCAACAACAGCTGTTTCCTCCGCAGTACTCAGAGAACTTCGCGGCCAACATGGTGGACGCGCGGATGCTGGACCACCTGTCCAAGAAGGAGCTGGAGAAGTTCGTGGTCGTGACGCGCAAGTTTCACCAGGCGTCCATCGTGCACGGCATCCACCTGCTGCGCATGGTCAAGTACGACCGGCAGGCGCTGGCGGTGCGGCGCCACCAGAGTGACCACGTGGACGCCGACCCCCTCGTATGGACCAACCAGAGGTTCATGAGGTGGGCGCGATCCATCGACCTGGCCGAGTACGCCGACAACCTCAAGGGTAAGGTCCCGCCAAGTTGTTCTGCTGTGCGGCCGGGGTTTGAAGCTTTATTGACAACACACACTCAGGTTTCCCATAAGCCTCGTACTAGGTTTTGCTTATACTGTATACCGCGTGCAGGAGTGCGGCTGCCTGCCGAGTGAATAGGCAACGAGCCTACTTGCCTGACTGCGGTACAGTTTACCCAAAAACTAGTGCGCGGCCAGCGCTTCTGGGACACCCAACACCATGTATATTTTGCCTACTTTGCCCTGCTCACAATGATTCCCCCCTCGGCTCGCAGATAGCGGCGTGCACGGCGCGCTCGTCGTCCTGGAGCCGTCCTTCAACGGGGACACGATGGCGACGGCGCTCGGCATCCCGCCGTCCAAGAACATCATCCGGCGCCACCTGGCCGCTGAGCTGGAGGCCCTCGTGCTGCCCGCCAGGTACGTCATCTTCTGCCAGATGGAGGAGTACCAGGCGGAGATGGAGCGCGCGCGCAGCCACTCCTCCGTGCAGAAGGGCATCCAGCGGTAGCGACGCGACGGCAGACCGGTTGTACATATGCGTAGGGAAAACTACTGGGGAACAAGGATGAGGCGGGAAAGCCAATATATGTATAGAAATTTAATTAATGATGGACATTATACCACCAGAATTCTACTATGATAATTGTCTCTTTTATTTGGATAAAAGTCAGCTAAATGCTGTTGATTATTGTACATAAGTGCGCGTAGACCAAATGTGTATGTTATCAGATGATTTCCTCTGTGGGGAAAAAAAGCCAAGCTTGGTTTTGAGAACCCGCTTTTTAGGACTAGTAAAGTGTCTCTAAAAATGATTATTAATGTTTAATGGTGCTACAATAAAGTAGACGGGACGGAATTTAAGACCACTTCTGGTAGATTTATAGGTAAGCTTTATATAAATCTCCTTTATTCGCCATCATGTTTGATTCATCTCATATGTTTAGTCCCCTTGTGAGTTGTGGTGCATTCTAGTCTCGAGCTTGAGAAGGAGAAGGTGTGATTCTATAGATTGTACTAGACGGCTGAATAGTCCCATGCGACTTCGTAGACATACCACCGCATGCACGCGTGTGGCCGGGTTGCCTATTCTCTTGAGCTCACAAGGCGTATAATTGTTAGAGCCGGACTCATGCGGTAGACTATGACTAAAAAGGTCGGATGGGGTTTTCCAGCCTCCTAGTGCTTGCACGAGGTGATATGGCAACAGGTTTGCAATTATTCTTTGAAGTGCTGGGCGCCGCCCAGTGATATTTGGGCATATAAACAATGTTGCTTTAGTTAGTTTATTTTTTCTCATTGTGTATGAGACAATACTGTGAGTGTGTGGGAAGATGAAAAAAAATTCTAGAATGTTACCATTAACCATATCAATAGAAGTCTATCTCTAACTTTGTGGAATTATAATTTTCTAAACATGTTATTAGAAGTTTTTCAAATAAGTGTTTGACATTTTTTTAAAATTCTTGATGCGGTTTTGGGTGGAGAAAATGTGTAAATCAAGGGAAAATTTCAATTAAGGGTCGTTTTGATGTTTACTTAAGGAATTATTCATTGTCAGAGTAAGCAGGGCAGTGCAAGGGTTGCAAAAAAACATAAATGGCATTCATTATTTATTAATTCAAATGAAACTGTATAGATTAGAATTCCCCCTTTTCTATCATTCGCAGGCTGTTTCAAATGCTTCAGCATCAATGTTAGCTGGCACGCTTGTGGTTTTGCACCGCATGTTTCGTAACTCGTTTCAATTCATTCTACATGCAAGATTACATTCTTCGCTGTGCCTTGCATGAGTCTCCTCTCTCTGTTTTTGTGCCACAAAATTTAACCCTTACAAACAGAGTTAGATCCGTTTCTCTATTTATTTTGCTACTTTGACTTTTCATCTCCTAGTTGTACACTTTTTCACGACGAAAGTTTGTACTCAGTTAGCAGCAAATTAACAAATCAGCGCAGAAGGGGAGAGAGATAGCCCACTCACGAGCCTGGAGGGCTCTTGCCTCCGTCGCGTCGCTTCCCCCGCTGTGCCGCTCCGCCCCGCTGCGCCCCGCTGCGCCCCGCTGCGCCCCCTCCCCTCCCTGTCCTCATGGCCTCCTCCTGTTTCTAGAGCCGCCTTTGAGCATTACGTGCGGGTGACGGCCGCCGAGCGGCGCCGCGCCGAGCGCCTCATGGGCGGGGGCTCCCTGGGTCGCAGTTTCTCGCGGTCGTTCGCGGGCTCCCTGTCCGGCTCCCTCGCGGGCTCGCTTGCGGGGGCGGCCGCGGCGCTCCCCCAGGCCGGGGGAGGCGCCGTCCCTGGGGGCCCCGGGGGCGGCTCGGGGACCCTCCCCCACGGCTCGGCCCTCGCCGCCGCCCGGGAGGTGGCCAACGCCTCCCTGGACTCCCCTATCGTCCGCGCCGCGTCGCCCGGCGGCCTCAAGAGGATCCCCTCCTGCCACGCCCAGGGCGGGCCCGGTGGACCCTCAGCCGACGCGGACAACCTGGACGCCAAGGACCGTCGTCGAGCCAGCCTTCGCGTAAGGAGACGCTTGCACAACCTGCTGAGTTGGGCCTAGCCCCGCCACGAAGCATGCTCGCCAAAGTGATAGTCATATGTTCAGTTAGCACGTTCCGTGCGATGGTCGACGGGGAGGGTTTTGGGAAAGTAGCCAACACCTCCACACTTGGACCAAAGGTGGGCCTCGCACGGAAAGTGTTAAAGTAACTCTTGAATCTCTCATGACGCTCTTTGAAATTAGAACTGATTTATTACGAGATAGATGTAAACTTCTATAGATTTTATGTGTTCAAGATCTGAACTATAACTATAACTTTGGCACTCCTTAGCGGATATTTTTTATCGATTTATTTGTTGATTTTGTGTTTTGCTACTTTTGTGTTTTCGTGAGATAGCTATAGAGAGTGATTTTAATTTTGTCATGTGTTACTAATTTATTGCTTTGTTTTGCTAAGTTTATTAATTATGTGTTTTATGCTGACCAGACACGCCTTTGCTGCTCGCTGCATATCAGACTACTGCTTTTTGTGTGGCTTGTATGCATGAATTATTCTCTATCCCCCGATTCATGATGGTAACTAGCGGGAAGTGGGTCAGTCCATCTGTCAGTATGTTACCCTTGCATTGTCAGTTTTACTCCTAGAGAAGCAGAAACTTGTTTTCGAAAGATTTTCGATTTCCTTCATTTTTATAAGATAATTTATCAGACTATTCGGGAACGAAACAATATTGTCCTTCGGGACGTTGCTTTGATATTTCATATTCGTTCTCCACAGTAGTGCAGCGCACACACAAACATTTATATTCTTGTACTCTCATGTTAATGGATATTCTGCTGGGTGCAGAACATGTATTTAGCAGAGGGAATAAAATGATCAAAACTGCTTATTATCGTCAAGCGTTAATAATTGCGTGAAATACCTCCTATATTTTTTTTTATTCTCTGCATCCCGTCTATCTTGCCACTCGAGTTGCCACCCGAGGCCCTACCAGCGCCTGCGAAGTCCGGGTAGGCCACCAAGCACTACACTGGTGGCATGCTGGGTGGCCTACCTGTAGGTTTGCAGGCGCTCAGGCCTGATCCACGAGAGTTACGACTCACAAAAAGTACTCCACACCACACTACCTTTATTTTCCTTTGATTCCCCCCCCCCCTTTTTTTC